TAAAATAGAGCAGCATTTCAGCTAACTCAAGTTCAAAATAATGGAACAACCATTTGCTGATCTAAGAACAACAAAAGTTCCAGCTAGTAAAGCAGTTTGAAGTGTTTTTTGTTTTTTTTTAAATAGTTTCAAAGAACTTGAAAAAACTCTCCAAAAATGCTCTAGTCCAAAGCCAGAACACAGTTTTCTATGGTCTGGAGATAATTTAATATGTGAGGAGCCTTTTCAACATTTTCCAACTGTAACCAAAACTAAAGCAATACTTAGGAGGAAAAAAAAAGAAATGACTAAGCAAATTAAACCTAATATCTACCTAATTATCTTCAGATCAAACAATTTAGGGACAATAAAATAGAGCAGCATTTCAGCTAACTCAAGTTCAAAATAATGGAACAACCATTTGCTGATCTAAGAACAACAAAAGTTCCAGCTAATTTTAACTATTAAGAGGTTAGGAATGATGGCTTTCCCAGTCAAAGGACGTGCAATCAAGTCTGTGTGAGTCGGTTAATTTCAAGTATCACAAATATAGTACAATCAGTCTTCCTGATTTATTCTCATCCTTCTTTTCCCTCAAACACAAGTACAATGTCCATTTTTTGAGTCTGAAAGAATATAAAAAATTTTTTAATGATGAGGTAGACAGGATATCACTGGGGTTTGGGCCTTTTCTTCTGGTAACAGACCCATGGCATTTTGGAGAACTGCCCCTCCCACACACCAATTCTAATCCCAACCCACCCAGTGCTGCCAATCATGGTCCCTGCTCACACAGGTTGGCTCCTGACCCAGTTGGTCCAATCACAGTCCTTGGCATCCTTGGATAGCATTTGATGCAGCAGTGGGCTCCTTGGCCTTCCTTGAAATTCTCCCTAGTGGAATTCTTTCAGAAGCAAAACAGTAGAGGTGCAAGCTTAGTGCTTCCTGGGTCCAGCCTCAGAGAGAGGGCAGCCAAGGGCACAGATCCCACATGCAGAGAGATGCAGAGATGTCCTTGGGAAAGAGCTGGGGGACTTGCAATGAAGATCCAGACCTCGGGTCCCACTTCCCCAGTGGCCACTGAACCTCTGCCCTTCATACATTATGCTTATAAAAGCCCATACATTTCCCTTTAAGTTGAGGTGAGTTTGAATAGATGTTTGTGATCTGCATTCAGGAAGTCCTGCCTCACACAGATGGTGATCACATGGGTGTGTGCATTCTCCATAGTGGTGAACTTACAGAGGTGTCTTCCAAGTTCCTGCTCTCTGGACTCTGCCACTGCGACTCACAGGGGTGGCTTCCAGAGTCCTGCTTCTGTTCTGTGACCTCAGCTCCCTGCCAACGCTCACTGGTCCAGGGTAGTGACCTGTCCAATCTAGAAGTTAAGGTTTTGATCCAAGAGAGAGATTGTTGATGTGGGGTCCTGGGAACAGCGGCTCCAAAGGGAGAGGAAGTCAAGCTCAGAGCCCCCGCTTCTGGTCTTCCCTGAGGCTTAGGTGTCGACTCTGTTCATGGTAAATTCCATGAGCTGCCCCTGTCCTTCCAAGATATTCCACCCTCTTTTTCCTTTCATCCCCCTTTAGCTGGCTGCAGCTGGTGTACTCTTCAAGCCAAGAGAACATGAAATTACACACCAAAAAATTGTTTCTGTAAATCATCGGTTAGGGTACTTTTCATTATGAGAAATATAATATCTTAATAAAAATCAGCTTGAGCAATGAGGAACTTTTTACCTAGAACAGGAGGCCAAGAGGTACAGTGACCCCAGGTGTGGTGCTGTCAGAAGCTCATGTCATCAGGACCCCTGTGTTTTATTTCAGTGTTTTGGTATGAACAGTGCTGAACGCTCTCAAAAGGGGACTCCCCTCAGGTCCCCAGAGGGCTGCTGCTCACAGCTGGCTATCATGTCATCATTCACATCCAGCAGTAAGTGGAGAAACTTCTCTTCTGTTCAGGGAACAGCATAATCGCGTTTGGAGGTAACATCCTGGCAGTGGTATGAGAATGGCTCTAGGCATTTTTAAGAGCCAGAATCAATTCATCTTGCTGACTGCCTGGCTGATGAGGTGTGGGAAGGCAGGCACTTGCGCGGTGCTCAGGTTTCTTGCTGGGGACTCTTCTTTGAGACACCCTTCCTGAGGTGAAGAGCTGGTTTAGCAGTAGAGTGACACCAGGTGCAGGCTCAGTGCCTCCCCGGGCCTCACTTGGGCCTGTGTAGGAGGCAGCTGGAACCTGTCCCGAAGCCTTGATGTCACAGCAAAGCATTCACCTCTGACAAGAATGATTTCTTAATGGTGTGAAAAGCACATGTCTGCTCGCCGTGAACTGCTTTTCCTCTTTGTGCAGAGGTGAGACACGGCGGAGGCCTGAATGACTCACGTGCTGTATGCCGTCCATGACGTGGACACAGCGCGATGAGGTCTCCACCTTCCTTCCAGCTCTGGCTGTGCTCACGTGCATGCCCAGGCCTAGCCCTAAGGGATAATCAGTCTAATCAATGGCTCTCAACCCTGGCTGCACATTAAAATCAAACTGAGGAGCTGTGAAAACACATCAGTGCTTAGAACCCACCTGTATACATGTCTGTTTGCATATATGTGTATATATATTTTATGGTGGTAAAAATCACTTAACACAAAATTCACCATCTTAAATCATTTTAAAATGCACGATTCAGTGGTATTACGAACATTCACACTGTTGTGCAACCATCACACCATCTACCTCCACAACTTATCATCATCCCAAACTGAAATTCTGCATCCACTGAACAGTAATTTCCCTTTCTCCCTCTCCCCTTGGCCCTGGCAACCACCATTCCACATTCCATCCCTATAAATTTGGCTACTTTTAGGATCCCACATAAGTGGAATCATACAATATTTGCCCCTTTGTGACTGGTTTATTTCTCTTTACATAACATCTTCAGGGTTTGTCCACATGTTAGTGTGTGTCAGACTCCCCTTCCCTTTGAAGGCTGAATAGTATTCCATCAGTGTCTGTACCACAGGCTGTTTATCCACTCATCCAGTGATGCACACTTAGGTTGCTTCCACCTTTCAGCTACTGTGAATAATGTTGCTGATATGAATTCAGGTGTCCAGATATCCTAAGATTTTTGTTTAAAACTTTCCATGGGATTTGAATACGCAGCCAAAATTGAGAACCACTAAAGCATGACAGTCCCCAGAGATGGTGAGGGGTACCATGTAGAGGAATACCGCCTCAGTTGGCCTGATCCAGCTGTTCCATGCTAATTACAGTGCTTGTCATACCAAATGATCAGCAGTGCCTACATCTGTCTCCATCAGCAGACTTGGGGAGGCAGGCTTTGTTGACTTTAGTATCTAAGTTGCTGCCAAATAAAGCCTGCCAACCTCTCTCTTACTACTAAAACCAACTAACTGTTCCTTCAGGTACTAGAAATTATATAGCATCCATCGCACCCTGGGCCACACCTTGATCCTGACTCGGGCTTGGGCCTGGTTAGGGTCTAAGATCTTTATGAAAGAGAATCCCACATGTGAGAGAAGTCCCAGGCAGCGACGGTGGAGCAGGACGGGGGTGGGAGGCCCCTTGCTCCAGATCCTTCTGGGACAGACGCTCCAACAAGAGTGGCTGTACCCATTCTTTGACATCTGCATGAGAGGCCTACATGATCTTCCCCACAAATAGCTGCTTCCCCATCCTCAAAACCCATTTTATAAGGAAAGCAAGCCATGTAGCAGTATTTTTATTGTGGTGGGTTTTCCACGTCCTCTACTCATGTGAGCAGCCCCACATCCTCGTGTTTACTTTGGTTTTCATTTTAACCTGAGTTTCCAAGATCATTTTTTTATTAAAACCTATGGAAATTAAAAAGTATCCTCAGATAAAAGAAATACCAAAACACCCGAGAGAGTTCTGCTTCGTTCCACATTTAAGTCTGTGGATGTATTTGGAGCGAACTCTTTATAATGCAAAGCAGCGGCGTGGCAAATTGAGAATGCTCTGCTCCCTGCCTCCCCTTGCATCTCAGAAGCCACCAGATGCACCGGGCGATGGGACAGGGATGGCGAGGACATGACTTCGTTGGTAGATAATGAGCCTGGCCCCTAATTGCACTTGTAGGGTTTTCAAGATCTGGGTCCCCCTTCCTCCTAGTACCCAGTTGGAGCCAGGATGAGGAGCTAAAGCAGCAGGCTCGTGTGAATGCTGGGTCAGAGCCAGGCTTTATTTAACATTTGGACATTTGTTCATCATGGAAAATTTCTGCATTAATTTTGAAATTTTCTACATTAATTTTATTGCATTAAAATCCTTTATCATGAGTTCTGAGGTGCTTGGCACCCCTTCCACTGGACCCTCACCTGCGTCACCCTAGACCCGGCCCTGGCTCCGCTCACTCTCGGCTGGAGTCCTCCCTGCTTTCCTCTGAGCTGGCATTTCCATTTCTTAGTGGGAAGCGTAAGGTCACCGTCTGAGTCCTGTGCAGCCGGAAGTCCCCTTTCTCTGGGTTCGCGTCCTCCTGGTTCTGTCTCCGCCCACGTCGACAAACTCTCCCTCAGTCTGCTCGCTTCTACTGCTTCTGTCTCTCCACCCTCCCCGCCCCTCTCCCAGGATATCCAACACCAGGCACCAGTGAGAGACACAGGAGGGCCAGGGAACTCAGGTGCATCTCCGCAGGGCCCCAGTGAGGAAACAGAGTCCAGACCCTCCCAGCCCTGAGCCTGGGTGCCTTTTTGGCGCTTCTTGCCAAATCACCGATAACCCACATGGAATAACTGACCTCAGTCGCCATCGCCATTCTACCAATCCTCAGTCATGAGGGGCTAGCCCAGCTCAGCCTCCTTGACATTGCCTTGATGATTCATTAGTAGCATGTGCCACAAAATAACAATTGCTTAATTCATTGTCCTGATGGGAAATACAACTACATATGCAAATAGCTTGATAAACACGTGGTGTGAGGAACACACTGACACGCTGGCCACAGTACCATTCAGACAAGAACGGCAAGTCCCGCCACAAAGCCTTACCAGGACTGTGTGCATCCCTGTGTAGAGTCTGCTGAGACACACCAAGGTGGAAAACGCTGCAGCCACCATCAGGCCCAGAACAAAGGGATACTGCAGGGAGAAGAGAACCAAGGAGATTAGTCTGTGCTCAGATTCCCGGTGGTGCCACAGAAGGGCATAGGACTCCTGTTCCAATAACTGCTAGTCTCAATCTCACACTCCCTAGACCAGCAACCTGATGGTCTAGAACCATCTGAAAAATGGGAAAACTGAGGCAAGAGAAGGGGAAGATGCCTAGGAATACAGTTCTGGCAGGAAGTTTCACAACCTAGAAACGTGCGACAGGACATTCTAGAACCTGGCTCTAAGACCCATGGCCACAGCTAATGTGCTGGCAGTTTCAGTGGAGTAGGTATAGTTTCTTATTTCTACCGCTTCTTAGATAAAAACTTCTGAAGGACACAGCACTGAGCAAAGGGTGGCAGCACTATAATCTGCAGGTCCAACCTTCTACTTGCCCAGCCTCTGCTACAGGGATACAGGCTGGGCAACAGCTGGCTTTATGGAAAGGAAGTGCAGGGGCTCTGGGCCCAAGCAAAGAATGGGCATATTTACACACAGATGTCAAGGCAGAAGTTCAGACTTTACTAAATCTCAACATTTGCTGGTGGGTAAAAATTGCAGCCGGAGGAATCTGATTAATACTGAGTCATATAAGGAACATCCAGATGCTCTGCTTATAAACCGGACATAGAGACATGATCCACATGCTTGTAGTCCTAATGTCTGTGGTCTTCCACAGTGAAAAGAACAAAGATGACAGAGAACTGTGTATTATTCAAAGCACTTCATAATCACTGTCTCATTAAGTCTTCACACAATCCTATGAAGTGGTTCTATTACTGGCCTCATTCTACAAACGAGGAAACCCTTAACCTCAATAAATTACATTAATATTGAACTTTAGCACAAAATGCTCTTCCACCAATCATTCCATTTGATCCTCACCGTGGGAGAAACCAGGGCTCAGAGGGGCAAAATTTCTTGCCCAAGGTCACACAGCCAGTAAGGGACATAGTCAAAACCAGAAGTCACACCTTTTGAGTCCAAGCCCAGCACACTTTCTAGTGTAAAATGTGAGTATAATAATACACAGTCATATGTCTTTTCTTAAAATTTATCATTAACTGGGTTTCAGATTTCAATTTAGGAAAGAGTGTTAAAAATGAATGACTTAATGCATTCAGAAATTAGCGTTTGGACATTAGCCTGATATATAAACGTGATATATATTTATATATATAAACTCGTATTTAGAGCGGTTTACAGCAAATAACCCAAATAGCTAAATATATTTATGATTAACAACTGAATAGGAAAGAAGTCCACAACAACTCAGGTCTTGAGAAAACTATTGCATCACATGAGCTGAAAAGAATATTTAAAGGGCTAGATGGCCTTGAAATGAGTATATAAATGGTGGTTGGTGGTTTCTTCCCCACAGTCAGCTGCTACTTGCTGCTTCTTTCCTAAGCACCCTCGGCATGTTCACAGGCCTCCCTGGACGCTGAAAGCAGCCCGATGGGGCCCAGCACTGGGTCCACTATGTCCCCCTGGGCAGCTGACCCTGGGTACGACGTAGCTCAGGAGTCTGCATGAAATTAATTCAGACAGCACTGGGGAGCTCAGACATTTTTTGATCCTGATATGATATTTAAATATGTTCTGACAACTGATTATACCCAGCTGGATAAATTCCTTATACCCATCTGTTTCTAGGAAACTGAGATCTACACCCAGGTGACCAGGAGGAAGGCCACAGAGGCAGAGCCTGGACCCAGCACTAATCTTGTCCTCTTCCTACTGCATCAGGCTGACACCCCCGTTTCTGCACAGCCTGGAACATGGAACATCCCTGTGTTTCTGGGGTAAAGGGACAGGGTGAAACGATACTGTCATTTCCATACAAGTCTGCAAGATTTAACGAAATCTAAATTTCCCAATGAGTAAGAGACAAAATAGTAAATTAAACACAAAGTAGAGCAAAAGTTATCAGGCAAAACAAAACTTCATTGCAGTAATCGTCTAATTTTTAAAAGGTTTCACTGTGACTGGCATCCGAGCAGATACTAATTAAGTAAAATTCTATTTTCAACATTTATTAATCTCCCGTCATTTAGACAGTTTTCTAGAAAATGCAGAGCCATTAGTTTTAATGGTTGGGCTCCAACCAGGCGCGGAGACATCCTTGGGGGCTAATTTGGGGCACAGACTCATTTTTGTCCTGAGGTGTATAGCAGGAGGGTTTGGTGGAGCCGACTCAGCCCTGGCAAATCTTTACTAGGATCATAAACTCCTAACGTCTGTTCCAAACAGAACATGAGAGAATGGATTCAAGTGCTGCCTCGTTGGGCGGCTCTAGGTGAAACGCTTTCTGCTGGGGGCAGCCACATACCAGGTTCCCAAGACAGCCCATGTGATGCTTGCGGAGCATGTATCAGTATTAATGGTGTCCTCTTCCCCTCTCAGCTACAACCTAATTTGGATGCTCGATCACATGGCCACTTTATTTATGAAGGAACTGTGGCTGATGGCTCACTAGGTTTCAGTTTCCCCTAGTTTTCTTCGTAAATCTCATGAAGGCCCTCAAAAAGGGAAACTGAATGAAACCTTCCTTTGCTGCCTCACTGTATGGCTACATGGGGGGTTTGGGGGGTGCCTGCCTCACCTGGTATGTGTCCATGGTAGAGATGAGGAAGGTGAAGGAAATGGCGGTGGCCGCCATGGCGTGGGTAGACGGCATCCCATACTCCGCCATCACTCTCTTCTCAAGTCTCACGACGGGAGGGGAGAAGGGGCGGGGCCACTTTAGGATGTCCTTGGCCACCTGGCCGATATACATCACCAACTGCAAGACCAAAGGTCTAAGATGAGTCTACCCAGTACATAAAGTTAAGTTCCCAGATTTCATGAATTCACTCTGAGGGTCCCTGTGTGTTGGCTGAAATCAGCTTTCTCTCTGACCCAGCTACCTACTGGGAAAGGCTTGCAGGAGATTTCAGTTGGGAAAAAGAGAAACAGGCCTACTTTCTGGCTGCTGTAGGACCACTGGGCAATGAAGATGTGACTTTAACACATATGTTATTTATTTTAGTCATATATTTAACAAACATTTATATAGCTGATATGTGTGCCAGGCACTACAGAACTTTACACATATCAACTCACTTAAGTTAGGAACACCTAGAGAACACAGCCCTTTTGACAGAGGAGTAAACCATTGTACATAGTAATGGTTAGTAGTCACTGGATTCAAATCCAGGGAGTTTGGCTTCAAAATCTGTGCCTTAAACTACCACAATAATGGCTTCAAACCCAGGATGGTCCTGGACTAAGGATAATCTAATACTCAAATCAGATAACCTTTGTTTTCAAGTTCTAACCAGAAAAGTGGCTGTTCTTACAGAACTTCAGGTTAAAAATTGTTTGTTCCTCTGAAATAGCAGTGGATTCAAAGGCACAGAGAAGGGACTAGTGGTTACCAAGGGAGAGGAGTTAGGGAGAATGAGGGGGAAGGGGGAAGTGGATAAAGGGGCATAATAATTCACAATTACAATATAAGTTGGTCACAGGGACCATAGTAAAGTTTGGAGAACACAATAAATGATTCAGTAACATCTTTCTACATTAACAGACAGTGACTGTACTAGAGGGGGTGAGGATTTAACAATATGAGTAACTGGTGAACCACTGTGCTGTATATTTGTATATTTTAAACCAACATAAGATGGTATATCAATGATACTTCAATTAAAAAAAAGAGAGAGAAAAATTGTTCATCCTAATCAGTGTAGGCAACATACTGGATATAATTTCAGTTCATTTAGTAATCAGGAGCATCAGTAAAACAAATGGCCCTAAAGACAACTCAATCTGGGTTTCCTCAAATGACTTTTTCATAATGCCATTAATAAAGAAATCCACCCGCCCCACCCCCGCAAGTTCCTTTCTGAAAGTACAAGATAAAAATCAGAGTTTGATTTTCATTCCCTCCAGACATGAGTAGGGCTGTTAACACACTTACTTATTTTGTCAGAGAGTTTTTTACAGAACAATTTCATGATAAAAGAGTGACCTGCTCACTTACGTCTCTGCATTTGCAACTCAAAATGTGGTCTGAGAACAGGCAGCCCCTGTTCCCCCTGGGCACTGTTTTAAGATGCAGAACCTCAGGCCCCAGCCTGGACCTACTGACCCAGAGCCCCCGTCTACACAAGGCTCGCAGGTGGTTTGTGTACAGAGGAGAATTTGAGAAGTGTTGTGTTCCTGCACAGGTCACACCCCCACGGACTTTCATCACAAGCCTTCTCATCTTACCATGCCGGACTGATCTTACTAGGGCTTTATTTAGCTCACAATGGGTGGAGTTACCTGGCTTTGGACCAAAACCCACTATGAAGGACAATTTCAAAATAATTTTGGTCAGCCCGATTGCTTTAGTGTTTCTCACATTTCGGTGCTTTGTTTTAACTCATTTAGTTGCTGGTTAATGCTGAGCATTATGCCAGTGTACGCAGTATCCCCAGAAGGTGCTGCATGTGTTTTTTGAGTTCCGCTGCCACTTTCCTCTGGGTTAAAAACCAAGAACTGCTGTCTGTGCACAGCAGGCCAAATCCACAGGCTTTAAAGCCTCAGCAACAATCACTCCAAATTCCATAGCTGTGATTTCTAATCAGACTTTGAAATTTAACCTCTTTACTATCCCCTTATTACCAGGAACTACTGTTCTGGAAAGTAGCTCACTCTTTTATGTTTCTGCCTCCCTCCTGTAAACCTGTAAAAACCACATCAGACTATTATCTGCGGAGTTGAAAAACTCGCAGATACTGACTACCAAGAATTTCTCAAAAGCTGCCTGAGTATATTTCTCAGCCCTGCCCTTTCCCACTCACCAACATGAACAAAATATTACAAGCATAATGACAAGCTCTAGTTTACTCAAAAATACTTAAAATCCTCAGACAAGAAGCATTAAAATCATAAAGTAAAGACTGACTGGGCGGCCCTTGTTCAGACAAAGTTTAACTTCCTTGAAGTTTACAAGTTCCTTGCATTTCATTTCTATGCATTTGAAGGATGTTTCTAAGACTTAGGATAATGTCCATTTAAAAATATTACAACAGCTACACATTGTTTCTCATCAATACATTTCATATAACAATTATTGTAATGTCAGCTCTCATTAAACAAGAGAAAATAGAGCTATATTTTTCTGGTGATAAGGAAAGAGTAGCTCTCGTGGGGTGGCGAGTCCTGTCCGTGCCATGCCGTTCGTCACAGCAATCTCAAGATGTGCCAAACTCTGTATTAGGTCCCCATCCTTAAGGGAGAGAATGGTCACACAAACAGATCTCATCATAATGCAAATGCTTTGGGAAAAAAAATAAAATAATTATACATATATATAACATGTATATATTACAAATATATTAAAAAGTGTGTGTATGTGTATACACATAGGTGTAGTATGTACAGACAGACCACTCAGCGCTGGGGCTGAGTGCTAAAGGAAGACTATGTAAGATGCGGGATGGGAAAGAGGCATCTAGGTTGCAAGAACAGCTTGAGCAAAGGCTTGGAGAAGTGCTACTGGGTGATAATGCAGTGGGGGCTCCCAGGAGCTCCTAGCCTTTAAACTGCATGGGCCCAACACTCCACTTCTACTCGAACGGCTACAATGAAAAGCACTGAGCATACAGATGCATGATGGGCAAGCCCCTGCAACCCGCAGATACCACTACAGGAGATGCAAAAGGAGATAACCACTTTGGAAAAGTGTGGCACGGCAGTTTCTTGAAAAGTCAAATACCTACTTCCCTTATGACCCAGCCACGCCTCTCCCAGCGCTTACCCATGAGGAATGAAAGCATACGTCACACAAAGATTTGCACATGAAAGTTCAAACTCAGCTTCTTTGTAATAACCCCAATTTTTATCAACCAAAGAACAAATTGTGGTATAATCATACAGTTGAATATTTTTCAGAAACAGTGAAAAAAAAAAATGAACTACTATTACAGTCTAAAACACGGATGAATCTCAAAATAATGTTGCTGAACCAAGAAGCCAGAACAAAAACAAAAACAAAAACAAAAATACTGTATATACTATATGACTCTGCTTCTATAAAATTCTCAAAAACGCAAACAACGGAAAGCAGATCAGTGGTTGCCAGTGAGGTGGGGGAAGAAATCACAAATGGGCACAGGGAGAATTTCTTTATTATGGTGGTGACTTAATGGGTACATACATTTGTTAAAATGTACCAAATTATACATTTTAAATATATAAATATGTGTAAACTTTGCAAAAACACCATAAATTATGGAATTGTACAATTTAAGTGGGTGAATTGTACAGGCTGTAAATTATACCTCAAGAAAGGTGCTAAATGTATAAAGTTTATTGTATGTCAACCACATCTCAAAAAGTGGTCGTCTCAGCCTGGGCTGTTATACCACCCACAGACTGTGTGGCTTATCAACAAGAGAATTTTCTCTCACATTCCGGAGGATGGGAAGTCCAGGATCAAGGCCCTGGCAGGTTTGGTGTCTGGTGAGGCCCTGCTTCCTGGGGCACAAATGTCTGTCTTCTTGCTGTGTCCTTATGTGGCAAAGGGACAGGGGAGCTCTCCAGGTCTCTTTTATAAGGGTCTCTTTTATAAGGACTCATCTCATTCATGAGGGCTCCACCCCTAAGACCCACACATCTCCCAAAGGCCCCTCATCCTAGTACCATCTCAGTGGGCATTAGGTTTCCACATTTAACATTTCAAAGTTTTTCAGAAATGTGAAGAGCAGCTAAGTGGGGTGGGGCCTGGCGATAAGACACCACACTGAAGGGCAGCCGGGTCTTCAGTCCTGGGAAGAGGTCTGTATGCCTGACCAATCCCTCTGCTGTCCTGGGCAGAATGGGGGCAAACACATCAAGAATAGAGAGAAAGATTAGTTAAGAGAATATCGCAAAATCCAGGTGACCATAAAGGCATGACTGAGGTCAGCAGAAGGCAGACAGAAGACAGATTTTAAATATGCATTTGTTTTTAAGAGGAAGGCTGTTGAGCAGGTTCATCACTGTAGGGAGAATGGGACAAAGAGGGAGAAATTACTTAAAGTGGGAAAACAAGGAAATTGATGGACTACAGACCCAGATGTGACCTTGTACATGGAAGTGCTTCCCACTGATCCTGGCAAGGGATGTGGGCTCTCCTAGGAGACATTCTTGGTTTGCTCAGTGACTGCAGGCACCACTGTGGTATTCAGTGGGGATGACGTCAAGGAAGCTATATATGCCATCCACTGCACAAGACAGTGCCCCTCAGTGGAAAGAGCTTTTTGTGTCTAACACAATGCTTGAGTGTTCTGCCAGACATTTGTGTAGGTGTATCCCTCTGATTTATGAGCCTAAATCTGTTTTTGCAAAAAAACACCAGATATTTTCTTGCAAGGTTTGAACATATACTGAAATTTCTGAGAACATAACTACTGTATAAACTAAGGGAAGATTGCACTTTGGCTTATTTGGAACTTTAGCAAGAACTGTTCACCATCTGGGGAATTCAGGCCACCAGTGGACATGCCACTATTGCATTTGAGACTCCAACACATCACGCCTGTGTCTGAGCCCTGTAGCTGGCACACTCATGGTAACACTGTTTACAGGTCCAAGGATCCTACTACCCTGTGAAATGTTCTAGTGTGGACATGCCCCAGCATTTACTTATTTTAAAAGTTACCTTTTTATTACAAGGCAGATGTCTAAAAAATTATGTAGGTCATATTATCTCTGAATTTCATTTTAAGAAAGTAAAAGGGGTATCACTATGCATTTAGAATAGAAAGGGAGGAG